AAAGGCTGAATAACAGTTATTGGTATGGATATACCAAAATTTGTTTCTCTATCCATGGATGGACATTTGGGTTGTTTCCATCTTTTGGTTATTATGAATAGTGCTACTGTGAACATTTGTGTAGAAATATTTGAATACCTATTTTCAATTCTTTGGGGGTATATGCATAGGAGTGGGATTGCAGGGTCTGATGATAATTTTACGTTTTAATTTTTTGAGGAACTGTCAAACTATTTTCCCCAGCAGCTGTAACATTTAAATTCCCACCAGCAATGTATGAATGTTCCAATTTCTCCACATTCTTGCCAACTCTTATTATTTTCCTTTTTTATTATGTCATCCTAGTAGATAGGAAGTGATATGTCATTGTTTTCATTTGCATTTCTCTAACACCTAATAATACTCAGCATCTTTACCTGTGCTTAACAGACATAAGTATATCCTCTTTGGAGAAATGTCTATTTAAGTCCTTTGCCCTTTTTATTTATTGTATCATTTATCTTTTTACTGTTAAGTTGTAAGAGTTCTTTATACATTCTGGATACTAGATCCTTGCCTGACATATGCTTTGCAAATGTTTTCTCCCGTTCTGTGGGATGTCTTTTCACTTTTTTAATAATGCCCTTTAATGTACAAAAGTTTTAAGCTTTGATGGAGTCTAACTTATCTATTTTTTTTCTTTTGTTGCTTGTGCTTTTGCTGTCATATCTAAGAATCCAATGCCAAATCCAATGTCATGAAGATTTTTCCTTATGTTTTCTTCTACACATTTTATAGTTTTAGCTCCTATGTTTAGACGATTGATCCATTTTGAGTTGATTTTTGTATGTGGTGTGAAGTGGGGAATCCCACTTCATTTTTTTGCCTGGGACTATCCAATTGTCTCAGCACCATTTGTTAAAGAGACTATTCTTTCCTCCATTAAATGATCTTGATGCCTTTTTCAAAAATCAGTTAGCCATAGATTTATGGGTTTATTTCTGGATTCTAAAGTCTATTCCATTGGCCTATATATCTGTCCTTATGCCAGTGCCACACTGTTTTGATTACTGTAGCTTTGTAGTAAGATTTAAATTGTAAAGTGTTAATTCAACTTTGTTCTTCTCTTTCAACATTGTTTTGAGGTGATTGTGTGATTTTTATTATTTTACCTGTTAAGATGTTGGATAATATGGATTGACTTTTGAATATTGAGCCAGCCTTGCATCTCTAGAATACAATCAACTACATGATAGCATACAATTCTTCTCACAAATTTCTAAGACTTTGTTAAACATTTTTGTGTCTATATGAATGAGAAATATGAGTCTGTAGTTCTCTTTTTTTTCTTTGTTTGTATAGTCTTTGCCTTTGCTATCAGAGAAACACAGTGAGTTGGAAAGTGTTTCCTCCTCTTCTATTTTATAAAGAGGTTATGTAGATTTGGTGCTAATTCTTCTTTAAACACTTGGTATAATTCTTTAGTGAAGTCATCTGAGCCTGGAGTTACCGGTCTCTGAGTTTTTTTTAAATTATGAATTTAATTTCTTTAATAATTATAAGGCTAGTCAGATTATTTCATATTGAGCAAGTTTTGGTAGTTTGACCTTTTAGAATAATTGGTCCATTTTATCTAATTTCCAGATTTATGTGTATAGAGTTGCTTGTATTAATCCTTTATTATCCTTTATGTGTCTACAGGGTCAGTAGTAATATCCCCTTTTTCATACCAATATTGGTAATCTGTGTCTTGCCATAAGCTTGTCAGTTTTATTATTTTGTCCAAGAACTACCTTTTTCTGATTGGGTTTTCACTATTTTTTGTTGTTGTTTTTAATATCATTTCAATATTAATATATATTCTTTATATTCTCTTACTTCTGTTTGATTTGGGTTTATTTTATTCTTCTTTATCTTGGTTTCTTAGGTAGAAACTTATATTATTGATTTTAGACTTTTTCTCATCTATTTTATAAGCATTTTAGTGCTACAAATTTCCCTCTCAAGACAGCATTACCTGTGTCCCATAAGTTTTGGTATATTATATTTTTATTTTCATTTAGTTCAGTGTATTTTAAAAATTTCTATTGATCTTCACTTTGACTCATAAACTTTTTTAAAAGTGTGTTGCTTATTTTCTAAGTGTTTGGAAATTTTCCTATTGTCTTTCTGGTTTTGTTTCCTAATTTGATTCCATTGTAGTCAGAAAACACAGTGTATTACTCCAACTCTTAAATTTTTGTGGATTGCTTTGTAGTCCAGAATATGTCTATCTTGGTATATATTCCTTGGGTGCTTGAAAAGAATGTAAATTTTGCTGGGTTTTGGGGGAATGTTCTATAAATGTCAATTAGATCCTATTCGATGGTGGTGTTGTTGAATTCTTCTATATCTTGCTGATTTTCTGTCTAATTGTTCTCTCACTTGTTGAGAAAGGATGTTGAAGTCTCCACTGTAAATATAAATTTTTCTATTTTTCCTTTCATTTATTTTAATTTTTGCTTCTTAAATCATGGATCTTGTTTACCTATTTTATTTTACTTTTTTAAAATTCTTTTTTCTCCTTTGTTTTTCTTAAGGGGGAAGCTAATTTTAGGTTTGTTTTTTTTTTTAACAGAGGTACTGGGAATTGAACTCAGGACCTTGTGCATGCTAGGCATGCTCTCCACCACTGAGCTATGCCCTCCCCCTTATCAATTTTATATATAGTGGTTAGTATCTGCAAATCTCGAACTCCCAGTTTATCTCTCCACCCTCCCCTTTCGCCCTGGTAACCATAAGTTTGTTTTCTAAGTCTATGAGTTTGTTTCTATTTTGTAAATAAGTTCATTTGTGTCATCTTTTTAAGATTCCACATATAAATGATATCATATGGTATTTTTAGTGGTATCATGTGATATTTCTTGCATGTATCTTTTTCTAGCCCACTTTTCATGGTTGCTTTAGGTATTACATCATATATACATAATTTATAAGGGCCTACTGATCTCAACATTTTACCAATTCAAGTGAAGTATAGAAACCTTCCTCTCTTTCCACCCCTTTACCACCATCCTCTGTTTATAATGTAACTGGGTTAAGTATTTCTTCCACACACATTTGGAGCCACAGCATGCAATAGTGTAACTGGTGCTTCAACCACCAAACATAATCTAGAACACTTGAAAGGAAAAACAAAAGTCTATTACATTAACCCATATTGTTTTCTCATTTCATTGTTCTTTCTTCCTTGGTGATGTCCAAAATTTCTTCTTTTATCATTTCTTTTCTGTTTACAGAACTTCCTTTAGCCATTCTCATAGGAGAGGTCTGATATAACAAATTCTTTTAGTTTTCTTTCATCTGAAGATGCTTTGATTCCCCTTCCCCTACGTGAAACATACTTTTCAGCACTCATTTAGATCTTCTGTTTTAGCTGGCATCCTCTGACAATGCTCTGGTTGAGAAGGGGGGCACTGTCTCATTTCTGCCATGTAGGCATGGAAATCTAGGTTCCCCTGTAAGCCTTCATTGACACCAGGGAGGTCGGGGCTTCTCGTTACTGCTAGGCCGTGGAAGTAGTTCCAGCTCCCCTCTGGGCTTCTGCTAATACCACCCTGGTTGGGCTGGGTAGGAGTGCCCCATTACTGTTCTTCATGTGTTATCCACTGACATTGGGAAGGATGGGATGCGGACTGATTACCACTGTGCAGGGGCAAAGGTCCTGGCTCTCTATGAGGCTCCCTCTACCACCACCCTAGCAGGGACAGGGAGAAATGACTGCTGATTGCTAGTTGGGAGTGGAGTCTAGGTCCTCACTTGGCCTTTGCTGATGGGGTGATGGAACCACACTTTTGCTGTTGTGTTTAGTAGAATTAGAATGGTTCTTATACAAAAGTTTTCTGTCTTGGTAGGTTGCCCCTTTCCTGGTCCTTTGGCTAAAGAGAACAGGCTTTTGGGGAGCCTTTTTGTCTGTATTCATTGGCATTTGGGGTCGCCAGCTTCTTCAGATCCAGGATCTAGGATCTATGAGGAAAAAAAAAAACTGAGAGCTCACCACCGCATCATTCTTTAGGTCCCAAGGTCCCTATCCAGTCTGCTTTCTTCTCTCCACCTTTCAGGGTCTTCTTATGGTTGTTTAATATATAATGTCCAGAGGTCTTAGTTGTACTCAATGGGAGAATGAGAAAAGTGCCCCTCTGTTTTTCCAGAGGTAGGCATCTGGACATTGAAATTGTAGACCTGTTTCTGTCCTGCCAAGGCGATCTATGGGAAGGAGAGCTTCACTCACATATGAAGGCCTTAGAAGAGCTATTATTTCATGTGTGCATCGTGAACAACAAAAAGAAATGAAATAAAGAAAAATTTTAAAAAATCTGCTTATCTGTCATGGAGGGCGTGAATTGGGGCAGCCATGATCACAACCTGCTTGGGTCGTTTTTTTATAAATCAGTGCACCGGAGCTCCATGAGCCCCTTCCAACATGCATCGCTTTCTTCCACTGACAGGTCATGAACTGTTAGCTGACTTGGCTGGGTGCTAACAGGGGCAGAGTTGGGAGCTGCTTCTTCTCTGGGCCATACGGCTTCAGCAGAGCTGAAGGGGCAGTCAGCCATCACCAGATCCAACCACCATGATGTTCATATAAAAAACCCTGTGTCAGAGAACAGAAGAGCCTTTCCCCAGATCTCACTGCATACCAAACAAAAGCAAAGCCAGACTTCGGACCCACATTCCCTGCTTTTAAGCCCACTGTTATTTTAGTTACATCAGACTGCTTCTCCACCCATCCCTCAGCTCTCCATTGAACTTTGCTCTGCCCCATGGCCAAGGACTGCTGTCTCATTCCAGCCAACTGCCTCATAGAAGTCATCCCTGGAGATGGGAGGGGCTCGATGAGGGTGGTGGGATGGAGAGAGAGACAGGAAATGGGATGTGGCTGACTCCACCCAAACCTATCCTCAGAGTGAAAGTCGATGATTCATGGGGTCAATGGTCTCATCTTCATATCTGAAAGACAGTGTACTTTTTGTCTCCCAAAGCCCTGTGTCTAGGTCGTTTGGGAAGCGCCTTGGAGAGTCAAGAATAAAATTGCAGGTCAAACCATGGACGACTGGAAAAGTCGGCTTGTAATCAAGAGCATGCTTCCCCATTTCACCATGGTGGGAAATCGTCAGGAGCCCAGAAAGCTCCAGGAATCGGTCAGACAATGGGCTATGGGGGGGAGGGGGGTGTTGAATGCTTCTTATCTTAAACTTGAACGTAAAATGTTGTCGACTGAAAAAAAAATGCACAACCTAAAAGTTGAGAATGATGTGTTGTTCTGCGGACTTTCTGAGGACTTCAAGCTCGGGAGACAGCCTCTCAGATCACTTTGAGGGACTGCTCCGAAGAGGTAAGGGAGAAGCCAGGACATATAGGAGTTTTGGCAACAAAGACCAGGTAGTTAGACCATCAAAAGATGACTGTTAATTAAAGAAAACCAGATATCTCAAGTCAAGGAATTTAGCACTTTTCTATGTTTGGGAAGGTGCAAATTTAATGGGCGGGCTCATTGAAATCACTCCTTTCACATCCACCTTAGCTCTCTAGGGCCAGTGTCCTGTCCTTTGCCAACCTGAGTCCCCTCAGGGCTCACTGTCAGAGATGGCTGTGTAGTGGCTTGATGGCTGCAACCTCCTTTGTTTACTGATATGGCAGGCAACATTTTTCATTCACAAAGTGTTATTGAAATTCTCTGTGCAAACTTGATGGCAAGGAACCAACCCAAAATGTAAGGAACTGTAATCTGAGCTAGAAAAGATCTAGGCGATGAGCTGACCTTGGCCCTGATGAGTTTCTGGAATAGCAGGAGATAGCATCCAAGGCTCCATCTGGGTTTCCAGTCCGGCTATCTCTGCACTGCACCCCTTCAACTAGAGAGGAAGGATGAAAGGGGGGGGAAGCCTCTTTTTTTCTTAACAGAAACCAGGAATGTGGGAATGACAGGCACTAGATGTATTGTGTTAGCTTCCCAGTACCACTGAGAACAGGAAGCCAGTGAATAAGGCACAGCAAGAGATTCCCATTTGACTGTCTAGTCCTCATGTCCCTTTAAAAACTCATCTGACAAATTTCTCCTGTCCTCCCTTGGAACCCAGAGATCATCTATGTGTCAGAAACTCAGAGTTAGGGATTCCAGTGGGAGTCTAGGAGCCAGGATGCTAGAAGGGGCCATGAGAGCCATTGGTTGGATGAATCTGACAGTGAACGCCTCCAACATCGCCAATCTACTAAGATTAGCTCCGTTAGTAGGAGTTGCAGCAAACACAATAGCTGTTATCTCGGTGTATTAGGTCCACAGAGGAGTGGCTGGCTTAATCTCTGAAATTAAGAGAGCAGAGAGGAAATGGCTTTTATAGAGCCGTGGGTCTGCTTCCTTCCTGTTCAGAGAACTAGGAGCTTGGGGCTCTGAGGTGATGTCATTTCACACAACTAGAGGGCTTGGCTTCTCCCATTCCACGGGCAATCCACTTTCAGTAAGTCAGCTTTCTGTTGAGTTGAGAATCTTGATACATGCCCAGGTGATGGGGGGGATTTGTTGAAATCTTGTTTCTGTTTTTTTCCTTGATTGTCTACCACCAACAATGTATTGAGAATGTGGGATCTAGTTGAGTATGTAGACATTTACAAAACTTTGTTTACTGAAGTTCCAGCTTGCACAGAGACAGCGGTCAGATGGGATGGCAGAGTGGGAGAAATTAGTTGGCCAACAGCCTGTCCTCCAAATTGCCAGCCCTTCCATCAGTCATCTCTCAAAGGCAATCTCTACCCTCCATCCTAATTACCCTTTTTAGTTCTTGCCTCTCAGCGGTCAACAACTGAGTCAGTGAAGGGAAACCTCTTGGCAGTGCCTCCAGAGTCCGTGGTCAGTTTCAGTATGGTTTTCAGTTTGCCCATTGTTTTCACACTTGTTTCCATTCCTAGGAGAAAAGAGGGCTGGGTTGTAAGTGCAGGGAATCTCTTCCCCTTCTGCCCATGTGCCCCACCAACACCCTTGTAAAATGTGTGACTAGGTAGTAATTTCTTTGGTTTTGATCAGTATAGATCTCAATGCTAGAAGGGTTTTTCCTAGAACAGGTCCTTGGAGCGCACATCCATGCCCTCACACTAGAGAAGCTGCCCTCGTTTATGCCATTTCCAGGAGTGGCTTCTCTTGGCAGGTGGCCTTCAGAGCCCTTCATAAGCCTTGCCAAAAATTCACATTCACTGCTTTATAGTCACAGCTTGGACTTGATCAAAATCAGCCCCTCTCCCCCCTCCGTGGCACACGTTGTTCTCCACCCATGGCTCTGAACAAGCTGTTTCCGAAATTCCAAGCTGTCCTAGAAGACCAAAGATTTTCCTCAATCGAGGCAATTTGACAACTATGCCTCAGGTTCCGAAGGCAAGTCTCTCAGATGAGTTCTCTTTGCGGTAAAAACCACATCTGACTTCTTGGAAGAGGCACCTGGTCTCTGAAGGCCATGCTGCTGAGGGAGCCCATTCCTTTGGCACACCTGTCAGGTACGCTGTACGAACCAGTTATGGCAGGACTTGGAATGGGAGCAGCAGAAGGAGGTCCTGTGTGGGTGCTGGGCTGGCACTTCCAGGTGGGCCCTGAACTGGACCTCGGCTGTTCCCAGTGCTTGCTCTCCCTTAGATGCTTTGTGACATCCAGGGATGACACCCTGCACCCCAGTCCCAGGAAACTGTGTACCTCTGGAAACACTTCCCTTGTACCACTCTCCCTCCTCCTGCAAGCATCCTTAACATGGAGATCTGACTCAGACATTCAGTTTACTTGGTTCTCTTGCCCTTTCCCAAGAAACAGACCAACAGCAACAACAAAAACGAATTTCAAGTCAAGATCTGTTAATCAAATTGTATCAATCCCAGAGGAGAGTTCTTTTAAAGAGTCCTGGGATTTCCATGGGAATAATTGAGAGTCCCCTTGCAGGAAAATGTGCATCTGATGGGATGATTGCTCTTGGCCTGAGACCCGGGCTCAGGACACCTGATTCTAGTCTTGCTTTTACTCTCAAGTAGCTAGGGGGCTTTGTCCATCCTTTGCCCACCCTGAGGACAAATGTGAAATGAACCAGGAGTATGACTAGCACCTTGACTAGATGCCAGGCACTTGCTAAGCATTTGGGGCACGTCATCAGAGAGGCTAAGCAATTTGACAAAGACACAGCGGTAAGACGTGGCAGAGCTCAGAGTCTGCTTTCTTCACCACTGTGCTCTGCTGCCTCTTGGATCTGAAGCATGTTGAAACCTATGAAGCTCCGAGCACGTATCAGGCAGGAGGAGTCATCATGAGAAAGCTCCTCATGCCCTCCCAGCATCCAGCCCAGGTTCATAAGGCATCCAGTCTCTGCAGTTAGTGTATGGAGCTTTAACAGGAGGCAGAACATCTGATTCCTCTTTTTGAAATTAAGATGGCCATTCTTCCCCCAGCATGGTGGGTCGATCATTTACCAGTGTGCTCCAGATGGGAGCACTTTGGAACCTGCGGGGAATTGGAACTCAGTCTACATGTCACATGTCATCTCTATCTCTGTCTACATTCCCACTACAAATTGCAAAGATTCTCCATCTCAGAGCAGCCACCTAGTTCATTCATAAGGCAGCTCCAGACAAAATGGAGGCATTATGGGCATTAGACGTACAATCAGACGAGGACAGAGACTCTGACCTCACTGCCCATTTTCTGTGTTTCATCATTGAATGATAGTAAATGACTGACTGTATAGGTTACAATGAGTTGGCCTGCCCAGTCTTCCTTCTGAGCTTCTCAGCCATTCTCCTTCTTTAAGGATGAGGGCACTGAGAGCTGAGCAATCCAGTGACTTGCACAAATAGGCTCATCGAGAAGGTGGGGAGCTATATGAAGGGTCCCCGTTTGGATGGTCCCAAGTGCAGCCTGCTTTTAATCCACGGCACCACCTAAACCACCCCCTCCCCTCTTCTTCTCACCTCTAAATGCAGATGGGGCTGAGGAAGGGGGAGAAGGAGCCCTGAGTGTAACAAGAGATGATTTGGAAGGCTACAGAAATACCGTCCCCATTCTCTCTGTCCCTCTTCTTTAGACTGGTGACCTTAGATATACCCAGTAGGAGGAGGTCCGTTCACCTGTTGCTGTGGCGTGGGACCAGATTTATGATTTGTACCCAGCATCCTTGGAAGCACATGTGTTTCCTTGCAAAAAAAGCAGAGGACTCAATAAGGAGTCCTCCAATGTGATCCCAGAGCTGTAAGTAGCACTTTGGGAGACCGTAAGCAAACTCCTTCCCTCTTGAGGTCAGAGGACCTATCTCCAGCCTCCTGCCACATTTCCAGGGTCCCTCTGGTGTGCCTAGCCCTGTGCTAGACCCTGGGCTACGGCAGTTCCCAGTCAAGGAGCAAACTATGCCCAGTCTTCCTCCCCTGGGAACAGATGCATCCTATTCTAGTTCTGCTCGTCCTCCGCGGAAACCATGAGGAGAGAATGGCAGAGTGGCTCTCTGCTGCAGGCTCCTTTGTAGACATTCACTCATCTATGCCTGAGACACAAGGATTAATATTTCCACTTCACCACTGCGAAGACTGAGGGACTTTGCCAGGGTTACACCCTCAGTAGGTTGGAAATTCAGATCTCAAACCCAGGTGCCGGGGCCCCAAAGCCCCTCCTTTGCTGTGTCCCATCCCCAGGTTGGGAGCTCAGAGCCTTCTACAGGCTGGCACAACTCAGTGGCTTGCGTTAAAGCAGCAAACGATTGCCTGGACATTTCACTCCGAGGGCAGACAGCCCATCCACAGAGAAAGAGTGGAGGCATCTTTGCTTCCTCCTTATGGCTTCCTAGAACCTTCTGACCAGCATTGTCCACTGCCCAGCTTGGGAGCCGACAGCCAGGATAATCAGAACCCTGCAGGGAGGTAGGGACCACCGGACAGGACCTGCGCTGAGTTGTCTAACCAGCTCTCTTGGAAACCTTGGAGAGGCAGCCCAGTGTACCCTGCTTCCCGCAGGCTGTGGGCCTGGTGCAGGTGCGGGTCTGGCCCCAGGGGAGGGGAGCTACGTGTCTAGCCCTGCTTCTAGAAACCAGCTCCTCAGGGAGGCAGCTGTCCCCGACATATACTGGGATCCTGCATGAGACTCCCCTCTGCCCATGTCAGGGCTTCTGGAATGACACTGAACAAG